TTGTAGGAGGACAGGTTGTAGGAGGACAGGTTGTAGGAGGACAGGTTGTAGGAGGACAGGTTGTAGGAGGACAGGTTGTAGGAGGACAGGCTGTAGGAGGACAGGTTGTAGGAGGACAGGTTGTAGGAGGACAGGCTGTAGGAGGACAGGTTGTAGGAGGACAGGCTGTAGGAGGACAGGTTGTAGGAGGACAGGTTGTAGGAGGACAGGCTGTAGGACAGGTTGTAGAAGGACAGGTTATAGGAGAACAGGTTGTAGGAGGACAGGTTGTAGGAGGACAGGTTGTAGGAGGACAGGTTGTAGGAGAACAGGCTGTAGGAGGACAGACTGTAGGAGGACAGGCTGTAGGAGGACAGGCTGTAGGAGGACAGGTTGTAGGAGGACAGGCTGTAGGAGGACAGGTTGTAGGAGGACAGGTTGTAGGAGGCCAGGCTGTAGGAGGCCAGGCTGTAGGAGGCCAGGCTGTAGGAGGCCAGGCTGTAGGAGGACAGGCTGTAGGTGGACAGGCTGTAGGAGGACAGGCCGTAGGAGGACAGGCTGTAGGACAGGTTGTAGAAGGACAGGCTGTAGGAGGACAGGCTGTAGGAGGACAGGCTGTAGGAGGACAGGCTGTAGGAGGCCAGGCTGTAGGAGGACAGGCTGTAGGAGGACAGGCTGTAGGAGGACAGGCTGTAGGAGGACAGGCTGTAGGAGGCCAGGCTGTAGGAGGCCAGGCTGTAGGAGGACAGGTTGTAGGAGGCCAGGCTGTAGGACAGGTTGTAGAAGGACAGGCTGTAGGAGGACAGGCTGTAGGAGGACAGGCTGTAGGAGGACAGGTTGTAGAAGGACAGGCTGTAGGAGGACAGGCCGTAGGAGGACAGGCTGTAGGAGGACAGGCTGTAGGAGGACAGGCTGTAGGAGGCCAGGCTGTAGGAGGCCAGGCTGTAGGAGGACAGGCTGTAGGTGGACAGGCTGTAGGAGGACAGGCCGTAGGAGGACAGGCTGTAGTATTCTCTGTAGAGTCTTTCTAGAGTACCCGGCGCTGCCCGGGTCTATTTTCCCTACCTCATCTCCTTCTCTGTCTCTATCTACAAGCTATCTATATCTAGTTTATCTCTTGCTATCTCCGTACATCTCTCAGATTCATAGATTTTTCCTTATTAGTAGCAATTCCACGGAAATCACACGATATATTTCACACTTAACGCCAAGAAAATGGCCTATCGGGCCATTTTTCATGGCCCTATAGGTCATAATTGCGAATATTTCAATCATTTATCTTAGGTCTTCCCGTAGCATCCTATGTCCGGCCCTAACCCCAGACCTCCCAACATGCAAAGTCTCAGCCCAAAGCCCTAAGCCTCTTAACTGACTTTCTCTATTGTAATTTAAACAATAATATAAAATAATATATATAAGATACAACGCGAGTAACGAACAACGTAGCGAATAACCGAGCGTTCAAAATATTATATTTTGAACACTGCGAACACCGAATGGTTTAGAAGCAAACGACTCCTGATCCCAGCTTATAAAGCTTAATCTCTCCCTGCCTACAGCTTACCTAAAGCTTTACCCTGGAACACAAAGAGTCGATTGATTTACCTCCAGTGACCGTCCAGCACCTGCTCTGAGGACATCTGGGTGAGGGAGGCCACCCAACACCTGCTCTGAGGACATCTGGGAGAGGGAGGCCACCCAACACCTGCTCTGAGGACATCTGAGTGAGGGAGGCCACCCAACACCTGCTCTGAGGACATCTGGGTGAGGGAGGCCACCCAACACCTGCTCTGAGGACATCTGGGTGAGGGAGGCCACCCAACACCTGCTCTGAGGACATCTGGGAGAGGGAGGCCACCCAACACCTGCTCTGAGGACATCTGGGAGAGGGAGGCCACCCAACACCTGCTCTGAGATCATCTGGGTGAGGGAGGCCACCCAACACCTGCTCTGAGGACATCTGGGTGAGGGAGGCCACCCAACACCTGCTCTGAGAACATCTGGGTGAGGGAGGCCACCCAACACCTGCTCTGAGGACATCTGAGTGAGGGAGGCCACCCAACACCTGCTCTGAGGACATCTGGGTGAGGGAGGCCACCCAACACCTGCTCTGAGGACATCTGAGTGAGGGAGGCCACCCAACACCTGCTCTGAGAACATCTGAGTGAGGGAGGCCACCCAACACCTGCTCTGAGAACATCTGAGTGAGGGAGGTCACCCAACACCTGCTCTGAGGACATCTGAGTGAGGGAGGCCACCCAACACCTGCTCTGAGAACATCTGGGTGAGGGAGGCCACCCAACACCTGCTCTGAGAACATCTGAGTGAGGGAGGCCACCCAACACCTGCTCTGAGGACATCTGAGTGACGGAGGCCACCCAACACCTGCTCTGAGAACATCTGGGTGAGGGAGGTCACCCAACACCTGCTCTGAGATCATCTGGGTGAGGGAGGCCACCCAACACCTGCTCTGAGGACATCTGAGTGAGGGAGGCCACCCAACACCTGCTCTGAGGACATCTGGGTGAGGGAGGCCACCCAACACCTGCTCTGAGGACATCTGGGTGAGGGAGGCCACCCAACACCTGCTCTGAGGACATCTGGGTGAGGGAGGCCACCCAACACCTTCTCTGAGGACATCTGAGTGAGGGAGGCCACCCAACACCTGCTCTGAGATCATCTGAGTGAGGGAGGCCACCCAACACCTGCTCTGAGGACATCTGAGTGAGGGAGGCCACCCAACACCTGCTCTGAGGACATCTGGGTGAGGGAGGCCACCCAACACCTGCTCTGAGGACATCTGGGTGAGGGAGGTCACCCAACACCTGCTCTGAGATCATCTGGGTGAGGGAGGCCACCCAACACCTGCTCTGAGGACATCTGGGTGAGGGAGGCCACCCAACACCTGCTCTGAGATCATCTGGGTGAGGGAGGCCACCCAACACCTGCTCTGAGGACATCTGGGAGAGGGAGGCCACCCAACACCTGCTCTGAGGACATCTGGGTGAGGGAGGCCACCCAACACCTGCTCTGAGATCATCTGGGTGAGGGAGGCCACCCAACACCTGCTCTGAGGACATCTGGGTGAGGGAGGTCACCCAACACCTGCTCTGAGGACATCTGGGTGAGGGAGGCCACCCAACACCTGCTCTGAGGACATCTGGGTGAGGGAGGTCACCCAACACCTGCTCTGAGGACATCTGAGTGAGGGAGGTCACCCAACACCTGCTCTGAGGACATCTGGGTGAGGGAGGTCCACCCAACACCTGCTCTGAGGACATCTGGGAGAGGGAGGCCACCCAACACCTGCTCTGAGATCATCTGGGTGAGGGAGGCCACCCAACACCTGCTCTGAGAACATCTGGGTGAGGGAGGCCACCCAACACCTGCTCTGAGAACATCTGGGTGAGGGAGGTCACCCAACACCTGCTCTGAGGACATCTGGGTGAGGGAGGCCACCCAACACCTGCTCTGAGATCATCTGGGTGAGGGAGGCCACCCAACACCTGCTCTGAGGACATCTGGGTGAGGGAGGTCACCCAACACCTGCTCTGAGGACATCTGGGTGAGGGAGGCCACCCAACACCTGCTCTGAGGACATCTGGGTGAGGGAGGCCACCCAACACCTGCTCTGAGGACATCTGGGTGAGGGAGGTCACCCAACACCTGCTCTGAGGACATCTGGGTGAGGGAGGCCACCCAACACCTGCTCTGAGGACATCTGGGAGAGGGAGGCCACCCAACACCTGCTCTGAGGACATCTGGGTGAGGGAGGTCACCCAACACCTGCTCTGAGGACATCTGAGTGAGGGAGGTCACCCAACACCTGCTCTGAGGACATCTGGGTGAGGGAGGTCACCCAACACCTGCTCTGAGGACATCTGGGTGAGGGAGGCCACCCAACACCTGCTCTGAGGACATCTGGGTGAGGGAGGTCACCCAACACCTGCTCTGAGGACATCTGAGTGAGGGAGGTCACCCAACACCTGCTCTGAGGACATCTGGGTGAGGGAGGTCACCCAACACCTGCTCTGAGGACATCTGAGTGAGGGAGGTCACCCAACACCTGCTCTGAGGACATCTGGGTGAGGGAGGTCACCCAACACCTGCTCTGAGGACATCTGGGTGAGGGAGGCCACCCAACACCTGCTCTGAGGACATCTGGGAGAGGGAGGCCACCCAACACCTGCTCTGAGATCATCTGGGAGAGGGAGGCCACCCAACACCTGCTCTGAGATCATCTGGGAGAGGGAGGCCACCCCAGAACACCAGAGTCTACAACGAGTCATCAAGATTAATGTTCGTTCATTAATGACAAATTAACTCGGAAAATCGTTTATAGTGTGTGATAGATTTTCTGTTTTTAATTATTCTCTGTTGATGGTTCGCCTTGCAACACTGTGTTGCTACCTCCTGGTCCCTCTCTTGTCTGGGTTCGAATCCTTCAGGAGTTTTCCGTTTATATATATATATATATATATATATATATATATATATATATATATATATATATATATATATATATATATATATATATATATATGCAGCCCATAACAGCTGTCTAACTCCCAGGTACCTATTTACTGCTAGGTGAACAGGTGCATCAGGGGGTGAAAGAAACTCTGCCCATTTGTTTACTCCGGCGCCGGGGATTGAACCCGGACCTTATAGGATTACGAGTCCCAAGCCTTGTCCACTCAGCCACAGGTCCCCTGTGTATGTGTGTGTGTGTGTACTCGCCTAGTTGTGTTTGCGGGGGTTGAGCTCTGGCTCTTTGGTCCCGCCTCTCAACCGTCAATCAACAGGTGTACAGGTTCCTGAGCCTATTGGGCTCTATCATATCTACATTATAAACTGTGTATAGAGTCAGCCGCGTGTGTGCGCGCGCGCGTGTGTGTAATTACGCTAACTGTGATGGGTGAAAAAAAAAATTACATTCCGCGTTGCTAAGCTTCAGGTAATGCCAATTTAGGTCCGTGTCTGCCGGCTTGATTGACCAGAGTAATCAATAAACACTACAGAGCGACGCAGAGGTCGCTACAGAGCGACGCAGAGGTCGCTACAGAGAGGCGCAGAGGTCGCTACAGAACGACGCAGAGGTCGCTACAAAGCGGCGTAGAGGTCGCTACAGAGCGACGCAGAGGTCGCTACAAAGCGGCGCAGAGGTCGCTACAGAGCGACGCAGAAGTCGCTACAAAGCGGCGCAGAGGTCGCTACAGAGCGACGCAGAGGTCGCTACAGAGCGCGCAGAGGCCGCTACAAAGCGGCGCAGAGGTCGCTACAGAGCGACGGACAGGGTCGCTACAAAGCGGCGCAGAGGTCGCTACAGAGCGGCGCAGAGGCCGCTACAAAGCGGCGCAGAGGTCGCTACAGAGCGGCGCAGAGGTCGCTACAAAGCGGCGCAGAGGTCGCTACAGAGCGACGCAGAGGTCGCTACAGACCGGCGCAGAGGCCGCTACAGACCGGCGCAGAGCCCGCTACAGACCGGCGCAGAGGCCGCTACAGAGCGGCGCAGAGGCCGCTACAGAGCGGCGCAGAGGCCGCTACAGACCGGTGGACAGGGTCCCTACAGAGCGCCACAGAGGTCGCTACAAAGCGGTGGAGAGGTCGCTACAGAGCGGCGCAGAGACCACTACAGAGCGGCGCAGAGGCCGCTACAGAGCGGCGCAGAGGCCGCTACAGAGCGGCGCAGAGGTCGCTACAGAGCGGCGCAGAGGCCGCTACAGAGCGACGCAGAGGTCGCTACAGAGCGGAGGCGCAGAGGCCGCTACAGAGCGGCGCAGAGGCCGCTACAGAGCGACGCAGAGGTCGCTACAGAGCGACGCAGAGGTCGCTACAGAGCGACGCAGAGGCCGCTACAAAGCGGCGCAGAGGTCGCTACAGAGCGACGCAGAGGCCGCTACAGACCGGCGCAGAAGCCGCTACAGACCGGCGCAGAGGCCGCTACAGAGCGACGCAGAGGTCGCTACAGAGCGACGCAGAGGTCACTACAGAGCGGGTGGACAGGGTCCCTACAGAGCGCCGCAGAGGTCGCTACAGAGCGACGCAGAGGCCGCTACAGACCAGCGCAGAGGCCGCTACAGAGCGACGCAGAGGCCGCTACAGAGCGACGCGAGGCCGCTACAGACCAGCGCAGAGGCCGCTACAGAGCGACGCAGAGGCCGCTACAGAGCGACGCAGAGGCCGCTACAGACCAGCGCAGAGGTCGCTACAGAGCGACGCAGAGGTCGCTACAGAGCGACGCAGAGGTCGCTACAGAGCGACGCAGAGGTCGCTACAGAGCGACGCAGAGGTCGCTACAGAGCGACGCAGAGGTCGCTACAGAGCGACGCAGAGGTCGCTACAGAGCGACGCAGAGGTCGCTACAGAGCGACGCAGAGGTCGCTACAGAGCGACGCAGAGGTCGCTACAGAGCGGGTGGACAGGGTCCCTACAGAGCGCCGCAGAGGTCGCTACAGAGCGACGCAGAGGCCGCTACAGACCAGCGCAGAGGCCGCTACAGAGCGACGCAGAGGCCGCTACAGAGCGACGCAGAGGCCGCTACAGACCAGCGCAGGGTCGCTACAGAGCGACGCAGGGTCGCTACAGAGCGACGCAGAGGCCGCTACAGAGCGACGCAGAGGCCGCTACAGAGCGACGCAGATGCCGCTACAGAGCGACGCAGAGGCCGCTACAGAGCGACGCAGAGGCCGCTACAGAGCGACGCAGAGGCCGCTACAGACCGGCGCAGGGCTCGCTACCCGGCGCCGGTGGACAGGGTCGCTACAGAGCGACGCAGAGGCCGCTACAGACCGGCGCAGGGTTCGCTACCCGGCGCCGGTGGACAGGGTCGCTACAGAGCGGCGCAGAGGCCGCTACAGAGCGGCGCAGAGGCCGCTACAGACCAGCGCAGAGGCCGCTACAGAGCGGCGCAGAGGTCGCTACAGAGCGGCGCAGAGGCCGCTACAGACCAGCGCAGAGGTCGCTACAGAGCGGCGCAGAGGTCGCTACAGAGCGGCGCAGAGGCCGCTACAGACCAGCGCAGAGGTCGCTACAGAGCGGCGCAGAGGTCGCTACAGAGCGGCGCAGAGGCCGCTACAGAGCGGCGCAGAGGCCGCTACAGACCGGCGCAGAGGCCGCTACAGAGCGACGCAGAGGTCGCTACAGAGCGACGCAGAGGTCGCTACAGAGCGACGCAGAGGTCGCTACAGAGCGACGCAGAGGCCGCTACAGAGCGACGCAGAGGCCGCTACAGACCAGCGCAGAGGCCGCTACAGAGCGACGCAGAGGTCGCTACAGAGCGACGCAGAGGTCGCTACAGAGCGACGCAGAGGTCGCTACAGAGCGACGCAGAGGTCGCTACAGAGCGACGCAGAGGTCGCTACAGAGCGACGCAGAGGTCGCTACAGAGCGACGCAGAGGCCGCTACAGAGCGACGCAGAGGTCGCTACAGAGCGACGCAGAGGTCGCTACAGAGCGACGCAGAGGTCGCTACAGAGCGACGCAGAGGCCGCTACAGACCGGCGCAGGGCTCGCTACCCGGCGCCGACAGCAATAAAAACACTCGCGCCATCACCATAATAACCTGGACCTAACAACTAATTGAGAACCTTTGGTTAATATTCCTGGCACGTTAACTTGGAGCTCACCTGTGGTATACTGATGCTGGGGTGGTATACTGATGCTGGGGTGGTATACTGATGCTGGGGTGGTATACTGATGCTGGGGTGGTATACTGATGCTGGGGTGGTATACTGATGCTGGGGTGGTAGGGGGTATACTGATGCTGGTATACTGATGCTGGGGTGGTATACTGGTGCTGGGGTGGTATACTGATGCTGGGGTGGTATACTGATGCTGGGGTGGTATACTGATGCTGGGGGTAATGCTGGGGTAATACTGATGCTGGGGTAATATACTGATGCTGGGGTGGTATACTGATGCTGGGGTGGTATACTGATGCTGGGGTGGTATACTGATGCTGGGGTGGTATACTGATGCTGGGGTGGTATACTGATGCTGGGGTGGTATACTGATGCTGGGGTGGTATACTGATGCTGGGGTGGTATACTGATGCTGGGGTGGTATACTGATGCTGGGGTGGTATACTGATGCTGGGGTGGTATACTGATGCTGGGGTGGTATACTGATGCTGGGGTGGTATACTGATGCTGGGGTGGTATACTGATGCTGGGGTGGTATACTGATGCTGGGGTGATACTGGGTGAGGGGAGATACTGATGCTGGGGGGTGGTATACTGATGCTGGGGTGGTATACTGATGCTGGGGTGGTATACTGATGCTGGGGTGGTATACTGATGCTGGGGTGGTATACTGATGCTGGGGTGGTATACTGATGCTGGGGTGGTATACTGATGCTGGGGTGGTATACTGATGCTGGGGTGGTATACTGATGCTGGGGTGGTATACTGATGCTGGGGTGGTATACTGATGCTGGGGTGGTATACTGATGCTGGGGTGGTATACTGATGCTGTGGAGTACTGATGCTGGGGTGATACTGAGGGTGGTGGTATACTGATGCTGGGGTGGTATACTGATGCTGGGGTACTGATGCTGGGGTGATGCTGGATGTGGTATACTGATGCTGGGGTGGTATACTGATGCTGGGGTGGTATACTGATGCTGGGGTGGTATACTGATGCTGGGGTGAGGGGTGTGGTGAGGGGAGATGTGGATACTGATGCTGGGGTGGTATACTGATGCTGGGGTGGTGGATACTGATGCTGGGGTGGTATACTGATGCTGGGGTGGTATACTGATGCTGGGGTGGTATACTGATGCTGGGGTGGTGGATGCTGGGGTGGTATACTGATGCTGGGGTGGTATACTGATGCTGGGGTGGTATACTGATGCTGGGGTGGTATACTGATGCTGGGGTGGTATACTGATGCTGGGGTGGTATACTGATGCTGGGGTGGTATACTGATGCTGGGGTGGTATACTGATGCTGGGGTGGTATACTGATGCTGGGGTGGTATACTGATGCTGGGGTGGTATACTGATGCTGGGGTGGTATACTGATGCTGGGGTGGTATACTGATGCTGGGGTGGTATACTGATGCTGGGGTGATGCTGGGGTGGTATACTGATGCTGGGGTGGTATACTGATGCTGGGGTGGTATACTGATGCTGGGGTGGTGATACTGATACTGATGTGGTATACTGATGCTGGGGATGGTATACTGATGCTGGGGATGGTATACTGATGCTGGGGTGGTATATGTGGGGTGGTATACTGATGCTGGGGTGAGTATACTGATGCTGGGGTGGTATACTGATGCTGGGGTGGTATACTGATGCTGGGGTGGTATACTGATGTGGGGTGGTGATACTGGGGTGCTGGGGGAGGTGGATACTGATGCTGGGGTGAGGGTGACTGATGCTGGGGTGGTATACTGATGCTGGGGTAATATACTGATGCTGGGGTGGTATACTGATGCTGGGGTACTGATGCTGATGCTGGGGTGTATACTGATGCTGGGGTATACTGATGCTGGGATGCTGGGGTGGTATACTGATGCTGGGGTGAGTATACTGATGATGGGGTACTATACTGATGAGGGGTGGTATACTGATGGGGGTGGATGCTGGGTGGTACTGATGCTGGGGTGAGGGTGATGCTGGATGTGGTATACTGATGCTGGGGTGGTATACTGATGATGTGGAGGTACTGATGCTGGGGTGATACTGATGCTGAGGTGGTATATGTGGACTGATGCTGGGGTGGTATACTGATGCTGGGGTGGTATACTGATGCTGGGGTGAGGGTGCTGGGGGGAGATGTGGAGTACTGATGCTGGGGTGATGCTGATGGGAGATGTGGAGTACTGATGCTGGGGTGGTGATACTGATGTGGGGTACTGATACTGATGCTGGGGTGGGGATATGTGGATACTGATGCTGGGGTGATATACTGATGGGAGATGTGGAGTACTGATGCTGGGGTGATACTGGTGAGGGGGATGGTATACTGATGCTGGGGTGAGGGTGGGGGAGATGTGGAGTACTGATGCTGGGGTGATACTGATGGAGGGGTGGAGTACTGATGCTGGGGTGGTATACTGATGCTGGGGTGGTATACTGATGCTGGGGTGGTATACTGGTGAGGGGGATACTGATGCTGGGGTGGTATACTGATGCTGGGGTGGTATACTGATGCTGGGGTGGTATACTGATGCTGAGGTGGTATACTGATGTGGATACTGATGCTGGGGTGAGGGTGAGGGGAGATGGGAGTACTGATGCTGGGGTGGTGCTGATGGGGGTGGTATACTGATGCTGTTGAGTATACTGATGCTGGGGTGAGGGTAGGGAGCTCCTGGCGGTGCATGCTGGCATGCCTCCACCAACAGCCTGACTGATCACAAGCCCCTCCTTCCCACTGCTAATGAAGCACCAGTCACGTGACACTATCTGCACCCCCTGGGGGGCATCATGATGCTGGGGTGAGGGTGAGGGGAGATGTGACAGTTCTGGGGTGATATTCATGCCCGTGTGGCCTCTGATGCTGGGGTGGTTCACCATAGCCCGTGCTACCTGGAAATTGTTATCTTGAGGTGATTTCGGGGCTCAACGTCCCCGCGGCCCGGTCCTCGACCAGGCCTCCTTTTTTGTTACACATTCCGAGAATCTTCTAGAATTCGTAGCTGAGTGGACAGCGCTCTGGGGTCGTAATCCCAAGGACCCGGGTTCGCTTCCCGGTCGAGGCAGAAACAAATGGGCAGAGTTTCTTTCACCCTGATGCCCCTGTCCACCTAGCAGTAAATAGGTAGCTGGGTTAAATTGGCGGAGTGTATATTAGCCTGTATAGGAACATACAGGTGTATATTAGCCTGTATAGGAACATACAGGTGTGTATTAGCCTGTATAGGAACATACAGGTGTGTATTAGCCTGTATAGGAACATACAGGTGTGTATATTAGCCTGTATAGGAACATACAGGTGTGTATTAGCCTGTATAGGAACATACAGGTGTGTATATTAGCCTGTATAGGAACATACAGGTGTGTATTAGCCTGTATAGGAACATACAGGTGTGTATATTAGCCTGTATAGGAACATACAGGTGTGTATTAGCCTGTATAGGAAAATACAGGTGTGTATATTAGCCTGTATAGGAAACATACAGGTGTGTATATTAGCCTGTATAGGAGCATACAGGTGTGTATATTAGCCTATATAGGAACATACAGGTGTGTATTAGCCTCTATAGGAACATACAGGTGTGTATTAGCCTGTATAGGAACATACAGGTGTGTATTAGCCTGTATAGGAACATACAGGTGTGTATTAGCCTGTATAGGAACATACAGGTGTGTATTAGCCTGTATAGGAACATACAGGTATGTATATCCCCTGTATAGGAGTATACAGGTGTGTATTAGCCTGTATAGGAACATACAGGTGTGTATATTAGCCTGTATAGGAACATACAGGTGTGTATTAGCCTGTATAGGAACATACAGGTGTGTATATTAGCCTGTATAGGAACATACAGGTGTGTATTAGCCTGTATAGGAACATACAGGTGTGTATATTAGCCTGTATAGGAACATACAGGTGTGTATATTAGCCTGTATAGGAACATACAGGTGTGTATATTAGCCTGTATAGGAACATACAGGTGTGTATTAGCCTGTATAGGAACATACAGGTGTGTATTAGCCTGTATAGGAACATACAGGTGTGTATTAGCCTGTATAGGAATATACAGGTGTGTATTAGCCTGTATAGGAACATACAGGTGTGTATTAGCCTGTATAGGAACATACAGGTATGTATATCCCCTGTATAGGAGTATACAGGTGTGTATTAGCCTGTATAGGAGTATACAGGTGTGTATATCCCCTGATCATGGCTGGTAAAGCACTTCTCAGTATATCTGACGCCACCAGCTCTCAGTATCTCAGTATGCAAATTAGTTTGACGTGTGTGTGGGGGAGAGAGAGAGATATTCCTTGAATACTCACTACATGATGTAAGGACGTAGCCCACTCACACACTCTACCCCACACTCTCTCATAGTGTGGGTGTCCTATCTACACCGCATCCTGCATTGGTCTTGATGCATAATGCCGACCACAACAAGCTGATGGATCTGGGGATAAGGATTGTTGTGTTGAATGGAGTTGAGTTTGGGGTCTCTGTCTTTCTGTCTCTGTCTGTCTCTGTCTCTGTCTCTGTCTCTCTCTCTCTCTGTCTCTCTCTCTCTCTCTCTCTCTCTCTCTCTCTCTCTCTCTCTCTCTCTCTCTCTCTCTGTCTCTCTCTGTCTCTCTCTCTCTCTCTCTCTCTCTCTCTCTCTCTCTCTCTCTCTCTCTCTCTCTCTCTCTCTCTCTCTCTCTCTCTCTCTCTCTCTCTCCCCTCTCTCTCTCTCTCTCTCTCTCTCTCTCTCTCTCTCTCTCTCTCTCTCTCTGTCTCTCTCTCTGTCTCTCTCTCTCTGTCTCTCTCTCTCTCTCTGTCTCTCTCTCTCTCTCTCTCTCTCTCTCTCTCTCTCTCTCTCTCTCTCTCTCTCTCTCTCTCTGTCTCTCTCTCTCTCTCTCTCAGCTTCAACTCTCAGGTAATTAACTATTGAC